TTCTCTCTCATTAAAATAAGATTTCCATCGCTGTTCTTATTATAGTTGAAGCAATGAATAAAAATACTGTAGTATATTTCATATGTGTATGTGTCTACACATTGCTGATGTGGTTTATGATTTTTATTAAATACACAGGTTTTCACCTTTAGTGAAGTGAACACCAAAGACAACCACCCTAAAATCTCTTGTCTGCATGGCATTAAAATTCTTAGTCAGCTATTTTCCTTTGATTTTTTCTGCATGACCAATGGATTAATACCTAACAGCCACCATTATCACACAATTTGGACAACACTGCTTATGACACTTCGCAGCAGTGTCTTTCCATCCCTCTGAACTCCCTGTGACCCACATATGTCTCCTTCCTCTTCACTGGTTGAATCAACAATTATACTATGTTGATGAACACCAAGAATAGGGAAACACACATATGCATTTGCTTTTAAGTCTCAGAGTTGTCTGAATACAGAAGAAGCCTGTGGCAATTTATGCCCTGCTGAAATACCGTTATCTTAACTGATATATGGGGATTACCATAATATTTCCTATTAAGCCTATGTGATTTTCCTTTCATTTCCATAGATAAAAAATGGTAATACATTATCACTAGTGACATTGCAGACACTGACTTTAGCTATAAAAGTAAAAATCTAGCTGTATACATAAATAACGATAAGATCATTGCTGTTAGGTGCAGCGGATGGAGGTGTTCAGTCTTGGCAGTCCAAGGTTATGCTGAGCATATTAAAACTTCTAGAAATTTACTCTAAGGATGCTCCTAGTTGAAAATACTCTAATTAGCACTACCAATTCAAAAGTTCACCAGATATCATCATTAATAATTCTAACTCAACTAACACCATGAATCAAAATACAGAGATAGCAAATACTACACGGTGTCCCTGTTGCTTTTTAAATCATGCAGAGTGACAAATACATGACATTAAGATGGTGCTTAGTCACTGTGCATTTTCCTCTGTTCCTCACCACCTAACAGAATGAATGCGTTATGCATTAAATTCGTTACCACTCACCTGGGTTGCTCATAGGAAACTTCTTTTTACAGTACAAAAATACAACATCAGAGATGTTATTTGACTTAAACAAAGTGTTTTTCTAGTACACATGAAATTGATTATTTTTCTTCCCAAATTGTCACTTAGTTGTTTGTCCCTGGAACTGCATTGCAACTTTTCTTCTGCTTTCTTCTTCCATCCCCTTTCCTTGCCTTAGTACAACAAAGTCTTCCCACCTCTGCAGCTGAATTACTTTGTTCACTGAAGAATGAAGATTATAGCCCTCTGATATGATTTATTTATTTTTTTCCAGTCAAATTATGTAAATCCCTTCTTGCATAAACCCAGTCTATTTCCCTGGAATATGAAACAGTCAAAATTGAGAAAGAAGAAAATAAATAAATGAATAAGTAAATGAATAAATAAATAAATCTCTCTCTTATGGACTCTGAAGGAAGGTAGCCTTTTAAAATTTCTTGAAGATTAATTTCTGTAAGGAACAAACCATTCTTCCAAGGAATGCTTCCTGTTTTCCTTACAAACATTTTGAAGTCAATCTGAACATGTCGGGAGACCTGCCATGCTGTGGTGGGGGCATTTTGCCTGTACAAGCCTTTCTTGTGTATCATATTGGACCAGATATTTTTCCTACTGAAATAGAAACCTTCCTTTTCAGCCAGAGTAATAGATTTTATGCTAAAATGGAACTTGAAGAAATTACTCGGAAGAAAGAAATTGGCAAGCAAGAAAATCAGGTGTTTGTATGATACTTGGACTTAAGCAGCAACTTGTGGAGCCAGGATTTGAGAGGTGTTATTAGAGTTTGGTGAAGAATCTGAAATGCAGCCAGTGAAAATTGAACAGAATTTCTGTAGAGTCAGACATCTTCCTTGTGTCTGTGTATGCTGGTTAACTTTCATTGTATTAGGTTTTACATACTATGTACTGCATTGTGTCAAAATGATGTTACGTGTTGAATGAAGATAGTGTCAAGGACAGAAACAAAGGAATGAAAGTCCTGTTTTCTAAATGCAACTTCCACATCTGCAGAGCAAATTTGAGCACAAGGACTCGTTTTGATATGAAGTAGCATATTTAAAGCATAGAACTGGACATGAAATAACTAGAGAGCTGGATTACCCTAGTTTAATGATAGAATGGAAGAGCATTACCTGGAATTCAGGAATTCCTCAGCCAGACTACTTTGCTGAAGTAATACGACATTATTATCATTCCACTGCTTATCACTGGAACGGCTGATGGAAAGTGTTTAAAGGTGACAGTATAAAGGAACCCAGTATTTGATACAGATACTGCCCAGTATTGCATAGAAAATACCTGAGGATATTCTAATAGATGCTGAAACTGAAATATTTAATTTCAAATTACTGGATTTAAAAAAGATGTCAAAGATATATTTAGGATGAAATAGACTGCTCGTATCTTGTGGTATTATAATAATATAAAATATATAATTGCATATAATTATAATAATATATATAATATAAAAATAAAAATAATATAAATAATAATATATATAATTGCATTTGTTTATCTAAAAGATGATAGTTATATTATTCCTTCATCAGCAGTCTAGCTACCATGAATTTTCTGATGCTTCCAAAGAAGAGCAAGTGATGAGTATTTGGCTTAAATTACACAAACAACTATTATTTACCCCAATTTTGTTTTCTTCCATTCACTTGCTCACATGTTCACTTACCTTTTGTGCTTATTTGTAAAAGAATGGTGATGTAATCATGTACCATTTAACAAGAACATCATACAGCTGCCTGACCGTATTTTAAATATGCTACTTCAAATTATATGTTTCATTACTGTTTTCTTCCTTTCGTGAATAGAGCTAGGCAAAGAGCTAAGGAAAAACCTTCAAATTGTGTGAAAACAAACTTATGTCAACACAAAACTAAAAAAGAAAAGAATTTGTGTGCCTGAGCATTTCTGAATGACCAGTGTGGAGCTTCTTCTGGCTCCAGGAGTGGATATCCCAGGGCATGCCATGCAGCCATCTGCTGGCATCTCTACGTCCTTTTGGTGAGCACTGTAGCCCTGCTCAATAAGAACAGCAAGCTGTGCTATGGCAGGGTCTGTTACTTCTGTAGAAATGCCTGTTGTGCCCTGTGGGTGCATCTGCTTGAGTCCTGGCCTAGGCAGCAGTATTCCAGTTTGGAGCAGAAACACTTTTCACAGAACAGATGCTGTGCTGGTTCTGCTCAGTAGCATGGTCACTCTATTTCTAGAGAGCTCTTTTGTTGCTACCCACATCTCTTCCCTGATTTTTTCCCCCACAGAAATGTAGTGTAGGAGCAATTCCTTTCTAGCATAACATTTATGGAAACGTGTATGCTTTTTCTTTGTTTTGTTTATCCTCCTTGACCCATCCAGTAAATAAACCAGAGATAGAATGTGAAATAAAATCAGCCTTTTTCTGTGATAGTTTTATGGAAACCAAAATTTTTTTTGTGAATATGGGCAACAGTTATTTGATTAAAACTTTTCAGTGCTTTTATTGTATATGAACGAAGGTACACTTCTATCTAATCAAACCATACTAAGTGCACTGTTTTAAATGTGATCATTTTACCGAGCTGAATGCAACTTTGAACAAAAATACTGGGATGGGTGCTGAGTCACGGCCTGAACCTCTGATTGATCACCTGAGGCAAGCAATGAGTCAACCAGAGGTGCACAGGTGAAGGCAATTCATCTCTGCTGCCTGGCTCCACCCCTCCTAGACCTATTTAAGAGCTGGCTGCCAGTTGGGAAGGGTTTCTTCAGGAGATCACTTCTACTGGTGTTTTGTGAGTGAGACCAGGATTAGGGTAAGCCTTGTATTTATTTTCTTTTGTTATCTTAGTTTGCATTGCTTAGTTCTCTTGTTTATTTTTTGATTATAACATCCTAACGTTATTCTTTGATTATGCAGATGAGAAATAGACTGTTCTTGTGTAACAATATATAAAAAATGTGTAAGACTAATACACGTATTTTGAATGCGAAAGAGTATTTAATCACATTGAGCCAAGCCTTGCATTTGAGTAAATAAATCTTGTTTAAGGAAAGATATCCTATAGTATGGTAATAATAAGTTGTGCAGATCAGAAAATAAGCAAAGGTGGTGATTGATAAACAACCAAACTAGCCAGAGTGGGTTTCCAAGTGACTGATGAATCATTTTGTTGAGGGGGGTTGCACGGGCACAGCATAGCTCTGGTGCAGAGCAGTTGTTCTCCTGCACAGTTCTTTTCCACAGGTGACCCAATGATGACCTTAGCATGGCCTCAGCAGGGAATGCATGGTGACATGTTAGTAAAGTGATGCAAGCCTGTAATAGTGTGGAACTGCCTAGAGAATATCACCAGGCTGATTTTGAGAGCTGTGGTTACTATAGCTTCTTACAAAATGGCTGCTAATACAAGGCATGAAGGCCTAAAATTAGCAGTGGACTTCACCTCTATCATTTAGATTTTATGGAAAATAAGCCACACCAAACAAGCTCTGTGGCTTTTTGCTCTTACGGAAACTGTAAATTTATTGAAAATAATTGCATTGGCTTATGTAATTTGTTGTGTGACTTAATTTAGAAACTAAGAAACCCACCATACTTACTCAGTTATTGTAAAACACTTTCAGGTGCAATTTAGATACCTACACCTGCTCACAGGGGAGCACCACTAGTTCTGTGAGTAATTACATGAAACACTTCAGAGCTGGGGAGGATTTTTATGTCAGAAAAAATGTAAGTGGAAAGGCAACTGCTAAAGGGGAAATGGGCCATGGGATTTTATACTTTTGTTTGTTTATCTATTTTTTGTTTCCCTTTTTTGCAAGCTTTACTTAAATTGAGATGAAGGGAAAGTGAGAAGATGAGCACAGCTGGTCTCTAATGAGAGCCCAGAGATGTTTCATTTTGGTTGGGTCACTTAGTGAGATGATGACTTACACCTGCTCTCTGTTGCAGGGTTGCTGATGTATGGTGCACCTGGTGTGGATATGAAGGCAGTGTCTGGTGCTACATAAGAAGGCATGACCGAGCCAAAAATTGAAGGTATGCTTGATAGATGCATCTTTGAACTCAGCTTAGAAATAACGTTCAAGTTATGCTAGATAATTTGTTTTATGGCTCCTAAATGCAGGTAGAAGTGCTCTTTGGTGTAGCTGAGGTAGTGTCTATTGTAGAGTTCTGTGGGTTTGATTGAGTGTAGCTTCTCAAGTAAGAAGTAAAGCTAAGAACTGTCTTGTAAGTCTGCAAGTATCTTTGCTATGTTTTAGTTATGGCCTCTTCCTGACCTCATGTTGCTCTGTATTTTCACTGGGTGAAATAGTGGCTGTGAGCACTTCGTGGGAGAACTGAGGTGATGTGTTGCAATGAATGATAATCTAAGTGAATTTCATATGATTTTTTTAAGATGGACTCATTTGAAATTCCATTCAAATACTGCTGTGTGTTGTGCTTGTAGTGTAGAAATAAAGAAAGTAGGCCATGTTTATGAGAGGGAGTTGCCTGATCTGAAATAAATGTGTTTTGAGGAGATCTGGATGGACGTGCTTGGCGAATAATAGAACTTATGGGTACCTGATGAGGTACTTTGGAAAGGTGGTGTTTATAGTTGATTACTGAAAAGCTGAGAAATGAAGTATTAAAAAATGTGGAACTTACAATGGAGTTACATAAAGTGATATGCTGATAAAAGGCAAGGATGTTGGAAAATAAGGAAGAACTTCAGAGAAATTGCTAAGATTCTCTGTGATCTAGAGTAGAAATGTAACTATTATCTGAATTATTTTTATTCAAAAGAAAATTAACATGTAATTTGATGACTTTCTGATATCTATTTTTCTGCCTGATATTACAAATGCGTTTGTTTGCTTGTTTGTTTCTGTCTCCAAAAACTGCTTGAATGTTTTTTGTTTCTTTCTTAAGTCTCTTATACAATTCGTACTTTGTAGCCTTTTATGCACTTCATCCTTTTGCTAGATGAGACTAGATTTGAAAATAATCAAGGAATAGCACTTAACAGAGTAGCAGACCATGTGGAGGCTTGCTCAATATCTGATCAACTTTGGTTATTATTAATTTTATATTGCAGAAAGAGAAAGAGAGGACATCTGAATTTTAGTTGATTGTTCAAAATTGTAGCTAATTTAATGTGGAGTTTTGGATAGAGTAAATTCTAGACTGTAGGAGCTTAATTACAGATTGCATCCTCTTTAAGTGTTGAGAGGTGGTACCTCATAACTGAAAAGGTGCAACAAAGTTTCAGTGAACAATTGGTATCCCATGGTTTAAGAATTACAGTTGCAAGAATGAAATTGTAGCTTTAGAAAAAAGCTGTTATGAAGTGAACTTACTGACTTCGTAGAGCTGATTTCCTGAATGTAATACAAATTGGAAATGCATGGAGTTCTGTATTCTATCTAGTATGTTTTCAGTACTATAGTAAGTAAGTTTTGAAATGCATCTGTAATATTGCAGTTCTAAAAAGTACAACTAGCAACTTTGCTTGTTTGGTTGTTTTGGTTTATTCCCCTCCCCCTCCCCCCTTACATTATGTTTGGTAGCATATGGCATGTTTTCTCCATTGGTATTTGTCAAGGGAGGTTTCAAGAGCCTTAATGTCAAGCAACTGTGTATCTGCTTGAAAGCAAGCAACAATTCAAGTGCTTATGGCTGATGCTCTGTTTGTTCCCACTCGGCCTGCTGTTATATAGTATGACTATGTATTGTTAGCTTTGTAACATCTGATCTGCAGCCCAGACTGAAGTTCAGGTGAGAATGATCTGGGATGATTACAGGCAATGTCTGCTGTGTCCTCATCCCAGTGCAGAAGGTATGAGTTCTTGGATGCTTTGTAGAAAAGCATCCTAGGAAAGACTCGAAGTGCTAGTATCAAAAGGCTGGAAAACTTGTGCTAAACTTCATTTGCAATGCTGAGTAATCTGGTTTAAAGAGGCTGAGTATTATCCACAAACCTATGTGTGGGTATATTTATGTATCGCAAGTATTGTATGTATGTATTGATTGGCCTTATGTTTATCGGATGGAAGTAACAGGCTGACTTGAGAGATCTTGTTCTTGTGCTGTTTTTCTGAACTTTCTCTATGTTCAACCCAGTTGCAAATGAAGACTTGAGGGTTTTTTAGTGTTACGCATAGTTTTTGCTTCTTGAATAATTGACTTCTGTGGCTTAAAACCTATAAATCAGTTCTTCATGGAAATTAGACTTAAGTCTGCAACCAAATTAATGTTACATATTATTGTAATTCTTTGTCATAAACGTGAGATTTCCAACATCCACCTCAGGAGTTCAGCCGTATTACTGTAAAATTTATGCGAGAAATGTGAAAGATCTCTCTGAAGTTTTCATTCTTTGTTTTTTGTTCACTGACTGTAATCGGAGGTGACTAGGGATGAAAGAAGGGGAGTCTTAAGGCCACAATGCAATGAGAAGTGAGTGCAGTAGGTGTGTAGCCAACCCTTTTCTATGTATTAGTACAGGAAGCTCTTCTAAAAGGAGCACCACAACTTGTGAAAATAGTGGAATGTAGTAAGTGCAATATTTTACTTTCTCCACAGTGAAGATAAAAAAGTAGGAGACAAAGCCAAGTGTGAGGTTCATGTGGTTTATAATTGGTTAGAAAGCAGAAGGCACTTCATTAACATGATCTGGTTTGTGATAAGGATTCTTTGGACCTTCTTAACCTAAAAGAAGGAAATGCTACAGGTTAAAGCTATTTTCAGTACAGTTTTTTTACTATCAAAGTTGGTGTTGGTAATATAAACTCTCTGCACACTTCTGTAAAGATCCTAAACAAAAGGGTATCTTAACTGCTGTTTAGCTAGTTTCTTATAGAAGTAGAATCTTATCCATTCAATAACAAATTCAAATGTATGATTTCAAAGTTTCTTATGAGTATTTTTGCACGTTCTCAGTAAGTTGTCTTCTGTGTGCTTCAGAAAGCAGGACCTTAAAATGTATGTCTTGTACTACTTTAGTTTAATGGGCTGTCAGCTGTCCAGGCAGATCCAGTACAAAGTCAGACATGTCTTTAATCTTCAAAGAACATAACAAAAAAAGTGAATATATTTAGTTATTGGCTAGGAGGTACAAAACAACTGAGGAGCAAAACAGTACTTTTTTTCTGACTTGAATTAGGTAATTGAAATTGTAGCTGTCCCTGTGTGTAAAACATCCTCATAGTTAGGGGTTTACTGAAGAGTAAGTGCTCATTTGTCTCTATTTAGTAAACAGCCATAAACTCAACACTTGCTCAGTTTTTTATATTCCGTTCATTTAAATGTGGTGTGTATGTAGCTCTTGATGCCTTGTAACATAAATGTGTGGAGGGGAGGGGAAAGGGAGGAAATACTTCATCTGAACTGAATAGAATTCGAGTTTTTGAGAGTAAGATTAGGTTTCCTCTTTCTGTAAAGAATTAAAACAATAGGAGATGCGTATGCACAAATGGGTTGTGTGTATGAATTGTCTGTTATTTTAAACAAATATCTTTTATGCTTGCAATTAAAAATACTTGACCTTTACTTTCCTCTAAGTTCACAAGCTGCTCAGTAGTCTCAAAGCCCAGATCTCTGAAGTTATTAAAGGTTATTACATCCATAGAAAAAAGAACTGCATTAGTATAGGAGCTAAAAATCCTTACTGCTTGGTTTTCAGAACAACTATATATCACTAGCAGTGATCCTCAGGAACAGGATAGTCTTAAGTCATTATTACAGGACAATTAGTCAAGTACGTGACGTGCTTTGCTCCTCCTGGACACAGGGTAATAGCTGAAGGAGAAGAAGGAAGGAGAAGATCAAATTTGTACTCTAACATGTTCTAGAAGCAAAGTACATGTTAATATAAAAATCATTTTTGTCACTTCACCCAGACTAGCTCTTTATTTCCTCTAGAGGTTCTCAGGAGTTAGACTTGAAGAGTAGCTGCTCTGAGCACTGGTGGAGTTGGCATATGTATGACGAATGAATTCGGTTTCATGGCCAAATTGCTTATCCAGACATGAAGGAAATCAAGCTTGTTTATTCTCCTTTCCCCTCTCTGTTCTAGCCTATTTCTGCTATTCAAACTTTAATTTACCCTTTGCATTAAATTATTCACTTGGAGCCTTTTTGTATGTTGTTATTTTTAAGTTCTTAAGATTTTGCAAAAAATAAAGCTCTAAAGGAGGGAGAGTATCATGCCATGTTCTGTTTTAGCTGGAACTGTGTGTTGTACTTATAACACCAATATATTCATATCTAAATTAAAACCACTCTTAAAAGATAAAGTTAGCTGAGTAAACTCGAAATTCAGACTGTTGGAGGAAGAGGAAGACTGAGACATAATTTAAACTGGAATCATGAGTTTTCATCATGAAAATGTTTACCACCCAGTATGTCATACCTATAATAATGCTAGACTTCTGAAGTTTACTTGGTCTAAAGTAGTAGCAGTACTCTTTTCGTTGAGGAACTAATTACATTCTCAGAGAGCTACCAATGTTGTCTGTAACTACCACAAGCTTGGTAAACATCAATCTGTTGTGTGATAGTCTTACATGATATGGGTAGTTGGTGTAGTTTGGGGTCTATAGAATTATGATAGGGCTCCTATCAAGAGCCCTGAAAGCGTAGTGCTGTATTTTCACATTGTTTTATAAGTAAATAATTACAACATGTTCCCTCCTTTGGATTTGAAGGTTGGATTTTTTTGGTGGATCAAGAATTGTTCTAAAGGACACAGCCAATTTTGGTCAATGACTTCATGTCCAGGTGCCAGATGGTAATGAGCAGCGTCCCCTGGGGTCTGTCTTGGAACTGATATTCTTAAAAATCTTTATTAGTGACATGCATAATGGGATTGAGTGCAACCTCAGCTACTTTGCTGATTACACCAACCTGAGCAGTGCAGTTGATGAAGCAGGAAGAAGGAATGCTTTTCAGAAGGACCTTGATAAAGTTTAAAGGTGACCTTTGTGAACCTAATGAGGTTCAACCAAGCCATGTGCAAGATCTTGCACTTGAGTTAAGGTAATCAGAATATTTAT